GAAGCCTGAGAACTGGTTTCCCTCATTTCTAGAGCCAGCCTTGACTTTTCTGGACAGGCTAGTCTCACAGGTACATTCTCTGTCAGAGAGAAAGGTACCCAAACATCTACACTTGCATGCAACTTACACTCAAACAAGCTAGCAGACAGGCAAGCAAACTCAGACCCAGTCCATGGCCCATCATCAACAGCAGCATGGGAATTCCTTTCTCTTAACAGAGTACAACAACAGTCCAGATAAATGTCCTTTCCCCTCCTGCAGAGGTTTCCTACAATCCTCATAAAACATTGCTTGCGTCTTTATTCTTGTGTACCCAGCATTGGCACCTGATAAGTCATACGCTATACCCTTTAACTGTTTTCTACTTACTTCTGCTGCCTTGTGGAGCTGACAGGGAGAAGTAGTCAGCTGCGTTAGTCTGAATTCAGTCAGAATGCAGGGTACATATCCACATAGACTAAATAAATAAGATATATATAGAGAGAGAAGGAGAGCAGGACCACAAGCTTTTGTGATCCCAAGGACCAGAAGTCACCAGAAGTCCCCATGACCCATTCCAAACACAGTGGGGCTGGTATATGAAACATTATAATCTCACTGAGCTCATGCTCATAATATTATTCCTCTACCTGGTCCCTTCTCTCTCCCTTCTCTTTACAGAATATGGCACAATTTTTGGACTCTTTCTTTTCTATGTGACTGTACAGTGCTAGCACAGTATTGAGCTGGTCCCGGTATGGGGCCCCAGGGCTCCACTGTAGTATAAATAGTAAATAAATAATAAATGTTAAGTAGTATTCTCCATCTCAAGCAGCAAGATGATTTTTTTCCCAAGCCCATTACTGAGCTAACTCGTCTATTATGATCACACTATTATTAATAAAGCTGGCCTATGGGCTAGGGAGAATTGGAGAAATGACTCTGCTGGGTATACCCGTGTTGAACTAACTCATTGTGTACGTGGTAGCAGCTGTGGAAAGCAGAGGGGGGCTTTGGAGGCTTCTAGCCTCATATATCACAGGAAAAACCTGAGAATAGCAGTTTGCCTCAGCATCCGCATGAGGCTGGTAACTCACAGCAGCACGCACTCCTGCAAGTAAAACAATAAAAGTTTTAATCACCTATCTGAGGAAAAGAGGTGGGAAAAGTCATTCTTTCTGTCTTGAAATGACAGTTTCACTTTGCAGCTAGGGAAAAAGCTGTTTTTTTGACAGCACTATCAGACAATAATTTACTGCCCTCTGGTAACTGGGACACTCTCTTGCTCCGCACATAAGGTGCATTAAATTGACTTGAAAAAAACTCATTCAATTATTTTGACTCCAGCTCTTAAATTGGACTTGTTTGTGAGATTGCTGGACAAATGAGAGGCAGTAGTTTAGAGAAAGGAAGGGCTTCAATTACCAAAAAAATGTAAGGGAGGAATTGACACAAGTGATCACTTACCCAAGTATTTAAAGCTAATGCTTCAAAGACTATTCATATTTTAAACAAATCAATATATGAAATATTCAGAGGAAAAGTTTGGTGAAACCCTAAAACTGCACTGCAGCATTCCTCTGTCCTTGCATATCATTTTCACATTGGATTTCAGTTAAACTTTTCAAGGCTGTGAGAGTGCTATGCACCTGGCAATTAAAAGTAAATTAGCTTCACATTTAGTGATATTTGCTCTTGTTAAGGTTTTAGTAGCTTTGCTGGTTTCCCTACTAGAACTAATTGAAACTATAGTAGTGATTAGAATACCATTACGGCCAAACAAGGGAGTGTGAAAATCATGTCTAAGATTTTTAGCAATAATGGCCATAACACATTGCCTCAAAATAAATGTCAAAACAAGATTTCAAGAGAGGAACTCCCTCTCCACCTCCCAAAAAACTTTGCAATATCACTTTTCCATCCTCCTGTGGTCTCTCCTTAAAACCCATCTCTGTCACAAAGCCTACAAAATGTTCATGAATGCCTACACAGCTGTGACTGTTGCTTGCCACAGTGATCAGATTTGTGTCTCTGCAGTCTCTTGCCCCTCTTCTCCTGGTTGTTGCATCCACCCACGGTCTCTCAAGCTTAAGCTGTAAGCTGTTTGGGGCAGGGACTCTGTTTTACTGCATATTTGTATAGTGCCGGGTGCTGTGAGGCTCTGTTCTCTGACTGAGTCCTCTAGGCACTATTGTGATACCAAGAATAATATAGTTTTTTTACCTGCTGGCACATCATGAACCCATTAATGCTGTGTGCAAGAGTCTGGAATTGATTTTGCTATTCTGCAAAATGAGGGGGGGAAAAAGCGTATGTGATGGTACAACAAACCTCTTTCCTCGGGAGACTAAAATGACACTTAGAGCCAAGAAGGTTGTCTGTTCCTGCTTTCTTGGGCTCCCTGATTTCAGCTTAATGAGGCAATGGGATTCAACCACCATGCAGAATATGTCAGGCTGGGCTGTTTGCTTCCTCAGGCATGGCTTCCTTACTTGCTTGGGTCCTGGGGATTTTTTCTTTACTGGGGCTCAGAAGTCCCCCTGGGCTCTATGGGCTTGCCTTTGTAAAGCTTTGATGCCATTCAAAATAGCCTGACATCATCTTCTTCACTTCCTTCTGTATGTACTTTGATCAGCATGAAGTCATTAGCAATGAAATCATCATCATTAGGTTTAAGTGTCAACACCCCACTCAGAACTATCCCTGTCACAGCTACTGCCTCCGCGTTTGCTACGGCAGACTCAGACGGGGACCTCTGCACTAATGATGTTTGATTTACATTTTGGAGGTAACATTTGTGTCCCTTGGGGGCCAAGAACTAGTTTTCTGAATGATTCTGTAATTTTAAATATGGACCCTAAAGTACACACGGCAAGTTTTCAGAAAATATGTATTATATTGCTGAGCATCTGTGAGCTGGGCAAATACAACCCTTGTTGTTTTGCAACTGTATTATCCCAGCCATGCTGATAATAGCCAAAATAAATGCCATGGTAAACTAAACAGATAAGACCCATAAGCAACATTTCCAGTGAAATGTGAAGGATTTAAGCTTCATGACTTTAAATGAGGTAAATGGAAGATTCATAGACATATCCTCGAAGTAAGCTGAAAAATATACCTTAGAAAGAAGACAGGTTGTGCCACATAAAGGGAACTTTTAATTGTTTCTGTCATTTTCCCTCTTCAGATTCAAATGATATTTTCAGAGAGATGCAGTTTCTGACAACTAATAGAACTTCATGTGCAAATAGCTTTGAGTTCAAACGGGGCTAGAGTTAAGCACTTCTTTCTCAGGAAAACAGCTGCAGTTTTCTATTCTGTTCCCTCAGTCCAGCAGTAGCCGCTATTGATAGGCTGCTCGGTAAAAAGATGTATACTGTTTGCTTTTTCTGGCACATGACCGTTCCCTGAACAGTATTTGTTCTTTACAATTAACACTTCTTTTTTTTAATGAGTTGGAAGCTGGTTTTATTATAATCAGGGAAAAGATACTGCTTGTCAGCAGTTTCTAAAGAAATATTATTGTGCTTTTCCTAAGAGCTCTTTGACTGATCTGTCCGACGGAAAGTGAGAGCACAGGTGCATGCCATCCTCTTCTGATAGATTTGTATGGTTTTGCTATTTTCCCCACTTCCTTGCAATAAATTGAGTGAAAAGCATTGCCTTTGTCAAGGCACGTGTTTTAGCTCCTACTGACACTGACAATGCTGTCTTTGTGTGTACACTGATATACAAGAGCTGAATCATTGTGACAGACTAACAAACTCATTCACACTTATTCACCCCCTCACTGAAGCACTGTGGACTGGTCTTTCTTTCCTCAAAATCACATCACATATGTAGAAGTGGATGTGTAAACTCTTCTTAAATGAATGAAAATATTTTAAATGATTTTTTGCAAGATATACATGGGTATCTCTTCTATTTGACCACTTTGTGAAGTAGGGAACACAACTCACAATGGCTTTCTAGGCAAAACATAACTTGACTTTTCTTATTGGAAGATTTCATACCTTAGTGAGGTTTCAAAATTTTTACCAGATGCAAAGCACATTACCTTAATCCGTTTCTGCCATGTATAGATTACAAACAAGAAACAAAATACCTATTTAGGTAAGAGCCATGGGGCTAATGAATTTCTGTAATCCCTCAGAAAATAAAATGACGCTTTTAGGAATAATATTAAACTCAAATCTCTTTTGACAGTTGAAGACATCAACTTGTAAAATTGAATCTGAAAGCCTTAGATAAAATCCAAACCAGCGGTTGATTTCTGGAGCCATATTGATTTCAAAAGTCACAGTTTAATATATTTTCTAAAATATTACAGCTGAATTTCATTTTTATTGAACAGTAGTTGGAAAAACATTTTTGTCCAATCCATAGCTGGAAGCAACTTGGTTAGCTAAGAGCAAATCAATGAATCGGAGCAGACTTGCTGCTTATTGTGGATTTACGTGCCTACCTTCAGGCACCCAGGTTTGAATATGCTTTACTAGACTCTTGCCTCACGTAATGTCTGATATGTGAAACCAAACCATTTGAGAGAATTGAGTTCAGCCCTACTTAAAACTGCTACTTTAATCTCTTCACACTTAGTGTAATAAGAACCAGTGAAAACTTAGTTGTCTTATCTGAGGAACTTGAGAAGGAAACTTGTCTTTGGGCATAGCATCACTTACTAATGATTATTTAATCTCCAAGCTTTAACTTAATTCTGCTGTGGTTCCTCTTCACATCAAATTAAATTGATGATGTTTGCTAACCAATACAAAGATGCAGCCTGGCCCCAGAAATGTAATTCCTTGTTCAGGCCACTGCCCCATTATGTTTTACGGTTGCAATCATAAGCACCAGAAATAAATTGAACACACATTAATTTCCTTAGTTAGTTTTCCTATTTAGTATCATTTACTTTTAACTGAAAAATATGAATTTGTAACTTGTACAGACCATGTATCTAGAAACATTCTGATCATCACACAGCAAGACTATTTGGCTTTCGATAGGATACTTACCTGTCTGCTGAGAGAGCTGTGAGTGTAAAGACTGACACCCCCACTGAAGTGAGCTGTATAAAGGGGATAAGTTTACATCCAACCCGGCCAAACAGCCATTTGTCAGCGAGGTATCTGCTGGCATCCACAGGGACACAGGTAACTAGGAGAAGCAGATCACCTAAAGCCAGACTGGAGATGAACAAGTTAGGAACATTTCTCATGGACTTCACAGTACAGAAGATCTTTATCAAAGTGATATTGCCAATAAGTCCTATCAAAATGATGATCCCATAAATGGTTGGAATGGCGTATAGGAACCCCGGGTAGAACCGATCATCACTAAGGATGGAGAGATTTGCACTTTGATGCACAGAGACGTTGCAAAGAATAAAGTTATCCACTTCCAAGTCTAGCAGAAAGCACTCTTCAGATGCCATGGTCAGATTTTGTTTCTACTGGATGATAATTCTGTTGTTCAAAAATCCTTGTATAAAATTTCTGGAGTTGTCTTTTGTTGCTGTTTGCTTGTTTTAAACAGGCAGAAAAGACTGAAAGTCATATCACTGCATGATACTTTAAGAAAAGAGAAAGAAAGAAAGAAAAGAAAACCAATGTCACTGAGCAAAACTATTTCCATAAGCTAGAGCCAGAAAGTCTTTAAGCATGGTTTTTTATCCTAGAACTTTTTTTTGTTTCATTCATTTGTCTTGCAAATAAGTTTTCCTCAGTACTAAAAGGCTGTTTACCAAATCAAGAGGCAAACAGATATAAAGCATTTTCTGAATCCAGGCTTGTCAAATTTCCATCTTCAGCTTTCTGCTCCTGGATCAGAGTTCAGTCAGAATGAAGTGAAGAACAAAGCAAGAAGTTTTGATTGTTGCTGTCATGCCGCATTTCACATTCTCTTTCAGTTCTCAGCACCTGCTTCTGAAGGCTGGGTTTAAAGTGAGGGAAAGGAACAGCTCTTTTGATGACTCTGATCCTATAGGCAGGATCCTCTGGACGTCAACTCTCTCCCCGCTTCCCACGATGATAGCAAGCTTGTTTAAATGATTGCAGTAATTGTATGGAAGCTGCAGGCTACCGCTGGTGAATGCCAGCCACCTACTGGACAATTTAATCACTGCCTGACCATAAAATATATTGCTGTTAACTCTTTGGACCAAAGAAACCCTGCATGGTTGTTGCCTCTTATTTATTTATAAGTATTATCAGTAAGAAGAGCAGCAGAATCTCATTTAACTCCCTGTTGGATGTTGTTCAGGTAACACCTTCAAAATAAAAATCACAGTTTCTTCCTCATTCTCAAAATACCATGGGCAGTAATTATACCGTTGCAAATGAGAGTGTGCACTTTGCTTGCATTCCAGCATACAGTCTGATTCAATGAACTTAAGTGAAGCCACTAAGCCAAATTCATCCCCCAGGGCAACTCCAATGAATCTCAGCAATTCTGATAAAAATCAACACTATGGTTAGCTTAGACAAATTAGCATGAAAACTCTGCAAGTGCTATAAGCTTTAAATATTTTTGAAAATGATGCTGTGATTCCATAGTTCCAAGGCAACCAGGTTTACCCTAGCAACATATGAGGTACCCATCGCTCTGGGATTGATACATTTTTCTTCTATGCAGTCTGTATGGAGAGAAAAAAGTAACGCGCACTGAGCTGGAAAAAAGAAATCTAAATATATTATGTACTGCAGATGTTCTTGCTTAAACAAGAGGTAATTATGACTGGTTCCTTGTTGATTTTTTTAACAGAAATCCTATGCATAGTGCCATAAGATGACTTCCTGTTATATGGTTAAATTGAAACCAGTCTTCAAAGTGAAATGAGGCTCTGATTTGAAATTTCCTCTAGCAACTGGTAATTTTTGCGAGTAAAACATTGTGCTAACAGTTACCAGAAGTTTCCTGTAGTAGGGAAAGTTGAATCAAATCAGATATTTTCTTTAAAAATGCACAAATACTGACATCTAGATACACTGAATATTTCTGGGCATCTTTTGGAAAATATCCAGTTACTTGATCCTTTCGGAGTAGTACCCCAATATGTGGGGAAAAACTTCTCCCAGGTCAGACTTCCAGGGACCACTAGGGTTTTTTGCCACCTTCTGTAGCATGAAGAACATCCAGGCATATTTTACCTAATGAACCCCCTGCCACTGCAGAGACTTCAGGCATAGGTGGTACACTTTGTCTTTCATACTCCCTTTTTTTCTTTTCTTTTCTTTTGTGCAACATTGTGATTTCTTTGTGGGTTTTGTATTATTATTTATTTGAGGCTTTTTGCCTGGGTACTGTGCTGGAACTCAGCTTTACCACTTTGGAAGAACAGCTTGGAGACGAGGAGAAGTGAGAAATAGTCCCTCCATAGGATGTGTTCTTAGTGGGCACATCTACACAAAACGCTAGAAATGCAGTAGACTAGTTCTACTGTGCATTAGTGCATCAAGACAAAAGCTGTACTAATGCACTTATGCACAGTACGGTTAGGTTACTGTGTATTAGCATCACCTAAAACATCTGAGAAGGTGCTATTGTGCAGTCGCACTGATAATGATGCTTTAAGTTAGTACCTGTTATTAAAGGGCGCCTATACACATGCAGTGAGGCTGCTCTGACGTGCTGTAATTACTCGATTAATTGAGTCTGCTAGAGCACTGTAATTACTGTGCTCCAGCAGACTCCGGCATCTCATGCATTAGTGTCTCTGTGCTAAAAATGGCAACAGGGACACTTGAAATAAATCTCATTCAGTGAGCTTTGGTTGAAGCGCCCCCCGCTGTCACTTTTCAGCATGGGGATGCTGATGTATGAGACTCTCTGGGCGCTTTAATTAGAGTGGCTGTAATTAAGCTGCCCCTGCGCCCCCCCCCGAGGCCATGTATAAATGCCCCCAGGTACTAAACTTAATGCACTGTAATTACGGTGCATTAATTCACATGTAGACATGGCCAGTTAGTCCACTGTAGTTTAAAACTCATTTTAAAAACTACTGGTCAGAACTGCAATAACCCCTGCTTTGAGAAACAGGCCAGTTAACAAACACAGTCAAACCATGTCACACTTCAGTGTCAGTCTTTTTTAGTGGGTGAGAGAGATTGAAAGCACAAGTTTGTAAGCCATCAAAGCATACAGTACAACCCCCCAACTTTGATCAAATCCTGTGTGCAGTTACAAACTGATCTTGGGGAAGAAATAAAGAAAGCAAAAAAAGAAAGTACACTGAGACAATTACCTGAGTTCTATCTTACTCAAACTCCATCCTGTTCTCTCTCCTACTCTTTCTCCTGTTTCTGAACATCATCTACGTAGTGGCTTTGGCTGGTGTGGTGAATCTGCTTAGCTCATCAGGTTCAGTGACAATCAAGCTTTCTATAGTAGTGATGGCAAGCCTCTGTGAAAGTCTGCAAAGTTCCCTAGTTTAAGCATAATCTTTTGGTTTCAGTCAACTGTAGGCATTCAGTTATAGTAGGCATCTAAAGACCACACCTGCAGAAGGATGTTACAAAAGCTTAAGCCTCGTTAGTCAGAAAGAAAATAGAGGATGAGAAATTGAAACTAAGAGCAGGAAAGGCCAGATCCTATGGAGCTGAAAACAGTATTTGTGTTCTAAAAATGCTCAGCTGTTTATATCAAACTTAGTTAACCATTTCAGTTTACTAAAGTGCATAACATCTGTTGACATCCTGCAAACAGGTCTTATCTAAACTTCAACATCCGGCATTTGGAAATCCAGCAAAAGTTATTTTGAAATAATAATGACATTTCCCAGAGGCCTTTATATTCTTGTACTAAATTGGTCATTAAATATACTGGGCATGTCTACATGTGCTATTAATGCTATAAAGGCTTGCAGCACAGTAAAATACTGTGCAGTAGTCTTCCCTGGGAGTATATCTACACATGCTTCCTGTTTGGAGCAAAACTGTTCCCAATGGGAGCCAGCCATAGGCAGCAGAAGGCCAGGGCTAATGAGGCTTAGCCCCAACAAATGCAGGGCAGCAGTGGCAGCACAGAGGGCTGCAGAGCAACCCAGGTGTGGGCTCTGGGTGGCTGCAGCAAGGAACGCGCACAGACACAGATACATAGCCTCAACCTGCATGCAGCCAGGATCGCAGCCCTACCACATGCTGAGCACTGCCCACCACTGCAGGCAAGTTTGTGAAGGGGAAGGGGCATTGGGGAGGCAAATTGAGGCCCCCACAGTGAGGGAAGGAGTGGGGCCCTGGGGCAGGTCATGGGACAGTTGGAGCCCCAGTGGTTCATCTAGGGGTGTGGGGGGGTCCCTTCACTGTCCCCACCCCAGGGGAGGCATGGGGGGCATATGCCCCCTGGATTCCTCCACAGGATGGAGGTGGGCTGCCACTGTAGGCTGGGGCTCTGCATACTGCTGCTGCTGCCTCAGGAGCCATGTGACACCATGTGCTTGCCACCACTGGGTTACATTGCATCCCCTGCCTGCCTGGTGGTGGCAGGCACATAGTGTTGCATAGCTCCTGGGGCAAAGGCAGCAGAGCACAGAGCCCCATCCTGCACCAGCAGCCTGCCTCCACACCACACCAGCAGCCTGCCCTCCATCCCACACACAAATCTAGGGGGCATGTGCCCCCCGTGCTTCCCCCAGGCTGTGCACGGTGGTGGGAGCCCCCACCCTCCACACTCCTGGATAAGCCACCTGGGCTCCAACTCTCCCATGACCTGCCCTGGGTCCCCATTCACCTCAGCCCCTGTCCCGTTCCCTCCCTTACTGTGGGGGCCTCAATCTACCTCCCCCGCCGATGCCCCTTCCCTCTCCTCCCCCACCTTTCCCTCCACAGACTTACCTGCTGGGTGGTGTGTGTGTGTATGTGTGCGCGTGTGTGCGTGCTCAGCCCCCTAAATAATATTTTTCCCTCTTCCTATGGAGCTAGCCTGGTACAAGGCTGTGCCTACCCTGCTCTGGTCCCCTGCGGCAGCCAGGGGGAGATCCAGGCTCCCCCAGGATACTAATCTGGGGGCTGGCAGAGAGTATGGGGCCAGTTCCCATAAACACAGGGCCAGGAAAACTCTGCCAGCTGCAGTGGCAGCTGTCTCCATGCCCCATACACATTAGCAGAGGTCCTGATATGAACAGAGCCAGAAGACTGCTGCAACTGCAGAGCTCTCCCAGCCTTGGGCACATGGAGACAAGCCCTGTGACCAGCAGAGCTTCCCCACACAGCCGGGGGCTGGCCAGGAGCCCAGGACTGGCCCACTTCTGAGGCCGCTCTTGGCCAGCCCCCAGCTGCTTGGGGAAATCTCCACCTAGCCCAGGGCTGGCTGGGAGCAGCCCCAGAAATAGGAAAGCTCCCAGCCAGCTCCCAGCTGCATGGGGAAGCAGAGACCTCCCCAGTCCTGGCACTGCTCAGCTCCCAGCTCCTCAGCCAGGACCAGGCGAGTTCCCCGTCCCCTGTAGTCCCCTAGTGTTGGGGCTGGCCAGGGAGAAACTTTGCTCCTGGTTAGTATCTACATGTGTGCTACCGTGCAGTATCTACTTTGCAGTTGG